CTAAAGAGCTTAGATCTTGCTTGAAGGAAGATTGGGTCATAGCCATGCCATGAAACCAAATCAGAAATGGCTCGGAGCAGCCTCCTTATGATGAAGAATGTAATATGTAACAACAACAAATAAAATTGAGTTTCAGAGCTGGCACTAGTTGTACTGCATTACATGGAACTATGGACGCTGACGCAGGCTACATTAGGAAGACAGAACTACCTGAAATGTGGATTCATCCCAGGACGTTAAGAACTTTTTCAAGTGAGATAAACAACCAAGAATAACTACAGTAAATGAATAAAGATCAAGAAATTGCAGAACACATAAAATGTAGAAACTCAGAATACTTCAGTCACTCTATGAGTGAAATCCCACTGCTTATCATATACGCTGCCCACAGAAACAATGAAATTTATGGATGAGCTGACTCACCAGATCCCCACTATGTTTACTCTAGTTGTGACTTACCAAGCTAATTTCAATCTAGCGTTGGGGTCTGATGACGGGATGGGGACTGCTTTGGTCACTGGATGGTGAATGACTTAAGCCACAAACTAAACAGAGTGTGCCCCTGTGGGTTCTGCAGCTTTCGTTACTGGGCCATCACTCTGGGATGGGACTTGGAGGCATAGTTGGGCAGTGTCTCCATTCCTTCCTGGAGGGGACAACTGGGTGATGCTGGGTGACTCCTGTTTGACATCCTGGCCATTGGCCTGTGGTGTCCCTTGGCATTTGTTTTGTCCCTCATACACCTTACCATCTACATGGAATCACTGGGAGAGGCTGCCCAGAATGCTGGGGTTTGGAGTCACCAATAAACAGATGACACCCAACTCTATCTCATATTTCCATCTCAATTTGATTCTAGATCAGTGTCTGGTGTCAGCAATGGACTGGATGGAAGGCGAATAAACTGAAACCTAATTCGAAAAAGACAAGAGGCACTCCTGGTCACTCAAACAGTAAATCAGGGAATAAGGGCCCACTCTCTCCTGGATAGGGTTACACCCCTTCTGAAAGCACTGGTGTACAACTTAGGTATTCTTCTGACTTTGTCCCTGCCTGAGCCTGGATAATCAAGTTTCAATACAGGCGAGGAGTGCACCTGCAAAGTTAACAGTACTGCACCATTTCTGGAGATGTCTGATCTGGCCAGGGTGGACACACGTCTAAATTACTGTAACACGCCTGATGTCAGGCTACCTTTAGAAGTGCTTGGAAATTTCAGTGGGTCCAAAAAGCTGCAAACAGATTGTTCATCAGGGACTGGAAAAGGTTACAGGAATGGCATAAACCCTGCTACAACTCATCTGCTGCCTGTCAGTCCATTTCTGGGAACAATTCAAAATGCTGTTTTTGTCCTATAAAGCCCTAAACAGTTTGGGCCCAACTTATCCTAAAGACTGCATCTCCCTATATAAGCATGCCCAACCAAGTTTTAAGGTCATCAGGGTGGCCTTTCCCATAGTGCCACCACCTACAGAGATGCACCTGGTGAGGACATCAGAGAGGGCCTTCTCTGTTGCTGCTCTGGAACTCCCTCCCACAAGAAGCCAGGCTGTCTCCATCTTTGCTGTTCTTCCACAAGCAGGCAAAGATCAGAAAATCTTTCTCTTAGTGACAAGCTGCCTTAGATGGAATTCTTATAATGGGGCTGTTGTATTTTTGATATTCAGTGTTCTTGAAAGTGTTTTTATCTACTAGTTATAATATTATATCAAATTCTTATTCAGTACTGTAATGTATTCTTTTTACATTTTGACACTGTTTATTTTTTGTACTGAAAGCCACCTTGGGTCCTTTATTAAGCAAAAGACAGGTTATAAATGTTTTAAACAAGCAAATAAATAATCAACAGAATTTCAGCTAGTGAAAAACAGAAAATACAAGCTGCTTGCTAAAGTAAATGGGAAAAGATATGTAGGAATTACAACATCTTCACTGAAAACTCTTAAGAGAATGTGAAGATGCTGGCCACAGAGACTGGCGAAACGTTAGGAAGAACAACCTTCAGAACACGGCCAAAGAGCCCGAAAAACCCACAACCACCATTAGAATAGTTGAGATTCAGCACAACACTGTCATTCTGTTGCATCAGCCATGATATTGTCCAAGCTCCAGCGGGAGAGGAAGACCTGATTGCAAAAGAGAATCTGGAAGCACTGCATAGGTTGATGTGGAAACTCAGTTTCCGTCAGACACTCCTGCATAATAGGCTGATTCAGGCCACTTTCAGTATTGACACAAGAAGTTACAAATGAGAAGGGGAGTCCACACTAGTGAGCCAATGGTGATTTACAAGTAGGTGCAATGTCTGCATTAGGTTTCCATTTGCATCATTCTAGTTGACTGCACATATCAGAACTGAATATTTTATACTTCACATGTGTGGACCTTATGCAAATAACTATGCCCACAATAGATAGCCATTGCATCTTGAAGGCAGAAAATATGTAATATCACTGCTGTGTGCCACACACTAATTCTACTTCTGGAGTTCATATGGAACTGCTCAAACACTGATCAAGGAAAATGGTGATTAGAAGGCAGAAAATATGTAATCTCGCTCCTGTGTGCCACACACTGATTCTACTTCTGGAGTTCATATGGAACTGTTCAAACACTGATCAAGGAAAATGGTGATTATAATTTAACTTTTCCACTTGATGAGAAACTAAGAAAACCCTCCCATAAAACAGTGAGTAGCCTGCTTTTCGACTAAGAAAACCTTCCCATAAAACAGTGAGTAGCCTGCTTTTCCTAAATAGGGTCATTCTAAGAAGAAAGAATTACTAAAAAATGTCATTAGATAGTTGTAAATTCATGTTGCTTTGTCAATGGCACAGATTTGCACTGATTTCTAAAATTAGCCAAAATCTGAACCTGCAACAACAAAAAAAGATAACATCCAGAAGAAAATTAACCCAATTCCCAGATGGATACTTCAACTGTCCCAATCCACGTTTCTTTAGATCTTGCCACATTTTTATGAACTGCAACATAGGAGTCATTTAAGGGCACCAGTCTGTGTATGCAGAACCCACATTACATCCAGGGATTCTGAATTCTCATAAACATGGAAGCCTTGCTTTCTGCTCATTTCCTGAAAATTCCAGAATTTAGTTGTCACTTCTCATCATCAGTGACCACAGTCAACTTTATGGAGGACAAGACTATCAACGTCTTTTAGTCATAATGGCTTTGGACAAATCGCAGGATCAGAGGCAGTCTGATCCTACATACTGACTACTGGCGAACAACAAGAAGAAACATCTGCTCCCATCATATCCTATGTCTCAGGTTTCCACAAGAATCTGGTTAGCCACTGTGGAAAACAGCACACTGGACAACATGGTATTCTGGGTTTAATACAGCAGGTTCTTCTTATAATCTCAGATGCACAAAGTACATGTAGAGAAATATCATAGAACTTCTTATATTTAGCCCCATGACATATATTGTACCCACCAGAGACAAAAATGGCAATAACACATACATTAGATGCTAATGCCTCCCTTAGAACGGTCCAAGTTGTCAGCCTCTTTGAATGTCTGGAACTAAACTATCATAACATATCATCTTGCTTTATTGCTTGGTTCCATGAGGGGATAAAAACCTTATGACTTTTACATATCCTGCAGCACCCTAAAGGCTTGGGGTTAACTCCCACGAGGATTAAAGACATCAATGCCAAAGAAAATAGTCAACCAAGATTCAATTCAATAGTTTACCATTGGTTTGGGGACCAATATGACACTTATACAACTTGTCACTTAGAAGCACAAGCAGCTTAGCATTTAAAAGCACTAGCGTATGTATATTCTACATATAAAGAACTTCAGCTGCCTAACCTCAAGCACGATCACTGTTTCCATTATTAGCCAGTACTTTCAGGGGCTTCCCAGGGATGAACATGAAACCACATATTCAGACATGAAAGTAATTCTGTATCATACATGGAACATCATAGCAGTAAATGCTTTAAACTATACATGCACAAGTATATTCTTCCCACAGATGTTTCAAACCAGATCACAACTTTACCTTGTATTACTTCAAATAGCAAGACCACTGTGCTCAAACAGAATGGTTTACTAGAATACAAAAGCAAGAAGGTCTGCAGATGAAGATGTGGACATCAGTTCTAATTTAGCTTCCATACACAACTAGTCACTAATTCAGATATGCATGAAACAGTCATTCACAGAATCCATGTTTTAAGTCATTCATGATACAGTACTGCATTCAACAGCATATGCCAGAAAGACTCTTCTCCGTTTTATAGACTTACATTAAGAGTAGAATACTACTGGTGCAATTGTAAGATGAAAGCTGTCAACAGAAATTCATTCACCAAGGTCCATAACAGGCAAAATTGGACTCTGCAAAGCTAGATTCATCCCATAAAACCAGCATTGATCAGAATGTACAGGATTAGGTTCTCACTATCAATCAGCAACTATTCTCCCCCATCTATTACATACCAATCCACAATAGCCTAAACTCCATAACGCTTTTGCATTCCTTCTATTCTGCTACCATAAAATGATAAATACAACAAAAATGTGGAGATAAATGTAGGCAGTAATCTCTATGCAGTTGGTAGCCTCATCCAAATCATACACCAGCAATACTGTGGTAAAACACTATGGAGACATGTCTAGAATTATAAGTGCAACTACGTTTTTCCCTCCTTTAATCATAGCTTTTGCATTATCTAATTATATATCTTTGCAACTGATCCCTTCTCTTGCAAAACGAAAGCAAAAAATAAAAATAAATAATACATTCCACAAAACATTATAGCTGCTATTTTAGCAATTAACAGATTTATCTGCAGAGGAATGACTCAGTATAAACTTTCAAATCAATTCTATTACACAGCCCCCTACAACATGACGCAACAATATACAAATTAACATTCTCTACATGTGAGAAGCATGCACATCTCAAAAGCACCACTGGTTACAACAGCAGCAGCCCAATTTGTAACATAAAGGCCGTAATACCTTCTTGCAGCGCCCTGTACCAAACAGCCACCTCTTCGTCCGCACTGGCTACAATGCTATCCCTATGAAAGAACAAAACAGAAAACAAACAAGCTGTTTTTCCCCACAAGAAAAGGTAAGCTTACACTTCACCTAATTTTTCCCCTCCTGATACCCGCCCTCAACTTCGAGTGGCAAATCCTGTACAGGATTGCAGGATTTGCAACTTCCCTATCCTGCACAGCTAACATGGACTGAAATCCACACACCTAACCTGCCCCCACCGTCCATTCGATCACGGTGAAGCCATCCAGCAAAATGAAGCTCTCTCTCTCTGAAGATGCAAACTTGGTACGATCAGACACTTCTCCACAAGTGAATCAGAGCAGGGGTCCCCCCCCCGCCCCAAAAGCTTTTTTTCAGACAGACACTTCCCCTTTAAAACTTAAGAGCCCGCCCACACCGACTGCATATGGAGAACCAGAAACTGGGAGAGCGTTCTGCATTCAAACACAAAGCCCACCAAATGCGCGCAAACGACCCCCCTTTAACAGCGCAGCAATGGGAGGTGGGGAAATAAAGCATGCTGTCTCTTCACGATCCATGCAAAGGGGGAAAAAATGAGAATTCATGTCCAATTCTGCATTAAAGGACTTACTGATCGGTTCCATTCTGCAGCACCGAAACGTTAAGAAGGTTGTTGGGGGAAAGGGGGGCTTGCCATATATCTAATTTTTTTCCTCTCTCTCTTAAAACAGCAATGTTTTAAGATCGAAGCAAGGGAGGGGGCAAAGGATGAAAGAAAGCGGGGAGCAGAGAGAAGGAAGCAATAGAGCAGCAGCAGCTTGGAGGTTGAAGGCGTATCTGGGGAAAGCAGTCTGAGCAGCCAGCGGTGAGGAAGCATTGACTTGTAGCAGCAGCAGCAGCCAAAGCAGCGAATACATCTTATCTTGGAGAGGCGTATAAAGCATGGAAGCAGAATACGGTTGTTCCCGTGTAGTTGTAGGAGCAGCAGCAGCAGCAGCCATCCAATCCTTGCATCGTCCCCGAGAAAGCCGCCTTCTCCAGCAGCTAGCTACCTTAATTAGAAAGGGAAGGCGAGAAGCAGCAGTGCTGGCGAGGAGGTGTGTGTGGGGGGGGGGTCCTTCCACCTCTGTGGCCGCCACCGACCCTCTAAGCCAGCCCCACCGCCGCC